CAGGGAACACACGGCCACGCAACTGGAAAGGATGTTGATGAAAGGTATGCAATGGATGTTGTTTGCAAATCTTAGTCTCCAAGCGGTGCGGTGACTGATCCAGCAACCTTGCCAGCGGCAGCGTGGAACGTCCCCATTGAGCCAATGGCAATTTGCCATAGGCGAAGTGGTGAGCATCCACCACGTTGCTTGCAAAAGTCGCGTCACACACGGGTTTGAACCTTCGGTGCACCGTCCCATGAGCGGCATCGCTACCACTGCACTATGGAGCCCTTCTTATCGACGGTGAAAGAGTTGTAGAGAAAAGGCAATAACCCACAAAAGTTGCAAAGATTTTGACATCTAGTAGTATCGATCCCGTGACCGATCAACACCAACGTGGACCGCAGGCGCTACACCATCGACGAATCAATGCTAGATCAATGATCAATGATGCAAAAGACAGTGCAGAAGAAATGCTGCAAACCTTACAAAAAATGCATAGAAATAACCTCGGTACCCCTCTCGACATGCTACTGGGGATTCCGAAGCCGTATACAAGGATTTGCTTTCACAGGACCAGTCGATGCGGACATTCCGGAAAGATTAGTACTGTACCTTGGGAAGCGCTCTGGCTAAAGATATAAAATTGTCTCCATTGAGGTCAATAGGCGGCGGTGAGAAGAACTAAGAATACAGCGTTCCCAATAATCAGCATCTGACGTAACACCTTAAATTAGGCGCAGTTCGGGGAACATTACTTTTAGCAAAGATTGCTGGCAATTTAGGCCGACCAGTGCAGCATTTTCCAAGCACGTCCGTTTTCGGGAATGAACATGACGATAACAACCAATCCTCCCATTTCTCCGACTTTTGTTCAATATATGTCATGGAGGATATCAAAGGCAAGCTTCGAGAGAAAATGGATGTGGAAGAGCGTTCAGTAAGGAAGCTGGAGGTAAGGAGTAGTCTGGAGAAAAAAGAAAGCAACAGAAACACCCCGAATAAGGACCTACTCTATTTCAGCTGCATTCCACCTTTGGGATAGAGAAGGGGCGTGTTGGACGAGTTTCACGAACCTAGAAGCAGTTGCTCCAGTGCCAATGACATTGAACCCAGCAACCGCTGCCTCAACTGCGCCCGCGCTTTTCAAGCAGCGCCACGTGGCAACTAACAGCGGAGGGTGGGGCTTGCGGACGAAGGTGTGAGTTGCGAGCTGAGTGAGCTTCAGCGCTTTTGTATCGCACTTTCAAGCCGTAATGGGCATGACAACAGTGCTTGTCTGCCTGTCTACGACGCTCGGGGATGCAAGAGTTGAGCATGCCTGATTTCGTGCCTTTAGAGCTCACTTGAATTACAATACTGACGGCACTCCCTCTACCCTCTCCATTCTCCTCTAACTGAACAGACCAGGCACAGCTCAATGAATGCCTCCATGATGTCCTCCCCTATTTACTTTATGCGATCGTCAAGACATCAAGATGTAATTTTAGTTTTTATAATTTACCAACTGTAGCCGACGTCAGGCTTCGCGAACGCTGGATGCGAGCACTGCGCCAGCTGCGTATCAGTGAATCAACGATGTATCAATGTCGAGATCAACACTATGTGGTAAAAGTGCGAGACCAAATGTTCAAGGAAGTGTCGCACTTTCAAACAGTGTCGAGTCGCTGGTACATGCGGGTCGAGTCGGCTGGCGCCATAGTTCAGTTCCGCTGTTGGTTGGCTCAGCTCGGATTCACCGCCTGGTAGGCGCTCGCAGCAGCGTTCGCAAAGCGCTGAGCGTCGGCTACAGTTGGCTGAGTGTATAAAAAATTTATGATATTTATGATTAAAAACTTATAAAACTCAATGGAAGGAGAAAGCATGAGGTAGAGTTAGAGAGGTAGAGGATGGGACCCAGCTAGTGAGGATTTGTCGGAGGTTTTTTACAGAGGCGGTCTAGCGAGCAAAGCTTCAAAGGTACAGAAAGTGTGGTATGGCGAAGTCCTTACATTTACGTTACCTACGTGGTCGTAATTAATTTCTCAAGATGCTTCTCGCTATCGGTGACCTTTTCCAGACCTAGAAATGAAGATTCCCGAGCATGAAGTGAATAGGTACGATTTATGTGTTTTTTTTTTTTTGTTTTTGTTGTTTTTTTTTTTTTGTTTTTTTTTTTTATATGAATGCATATTGAAACATGGAATAAAATTCACACCTTTTCCGCGCAGGATGATTCGCGTCAAGTACGTTGTCACACTGTCAGGTTGGCAAAATTAAATTACGGTAACAGGATAAAGTGTTTATGGAAGAGCAATTCGGCCAGCAAGACACACGTGGACCCCAACAATGTATTCATAGGAGGTCACCAGACAGAATACAACATCACTTCTTGGACTGGCCGCTGTTTGCGTTTATACCTGAATGAAGTCATCTCGGGAACGCATATGGCCTGTTGTGTAGGTAGGTGACATCGAGCTTACCCTAGGATCTTCTTTAATTCGTCGATGCTTTAGTGATACTCGTAGTAGCCCATCGTCTTCAGTAGACTCCACGGAAAATAACCCACTTGCTTTAACACGGGAAAATAAGGTGGCCCCTCGTTCAATGGCATGAATTCGGAAAATTCTGCAAAACCAATGTTGCACAATATTTGCTTTGTGCACAAGCGGTCTACCTTGCTGTTGTGTCTAGTGATTTCTCTCCGGGGTCTCTTCAACCAGGTGCATTTATTAGGTTCGAAGGAAATCGAGATGTTTGGTTAGCGCTCTTGTTACCGTAATTTTTGCCCACCCTGTACATACCAATATTACTCCTGGTAACGGATTACCTCGAAAAGGATCATTCTTTACGGAAAATAATTTTTCTGATTTTAAGCCTATAAATTCACCGGCTTGCAGACTTTCATCTATCCACGGATAAGCAATGAAACGAACAGAAAACTGTATTTGCAGAAATTCGAAAAACCGAAAGGGCTGCTACGCGCTTCAAAGTTACTGCCGCACATCTGTCCAATGCTGGCGACGGGAATGCTTTCCACTTGGTTCTTGGAGTGCCTTCACTAGAAAACTCTTTCTGGCCTTCTGCTTTATTGCATTCACATCTTACACTTCTACTCCATCCTATTCTATCGATCGATTTGTCTCTACTCTCCGAAATCGCGCGCTTTAACCCGATTCTTTCATTGCGTCGCCTGATACGTAGCCGGCCAAACGCACTTCTTTCCATGCCTCGCCTTTGGCTCCGCCCGAATTACCTTCGATTGTCCATAGAGTGTAGTTTTTGTACGTTTGTTTCTCTTCGGAAACCGAATCTTCATGCGTGAAACTTTGTGTGCTGTTTCCAGTGATCACAACTGACACATTCATGTTAAGAAAGAATGCAAGAATTTTCCGCGAAGGATTCCTTCAAGAAATAACTACTTTTAGAATGATTACGAAAGTGAAGTTGTTGCAACGGCCACCGAAGCGGTAGCATCCATGGTTGACCCATTCCATTTGAAATCGTCGAGGGAGAAGAAGGTGTCGTTTCCAGGAGACCATGTTGCTTTTTTCACAGACGCCTTCACCTCTAGTTTTACATTTCACTGGTATCAACTTATCGCAAGTTGTGTTCAATGGACTTCAAATGGATTTTCAAATTGAATCATTGGTAAATGTGTTGTGATTGATTTCGAGTTCTCACATAGGATGCGCCACTTTTGATTTACGAGTACCGCTGCGACGCAGCGAGCGTTCAAAGGACTGTTCATGATTCGGGGCTGGACGAACATTCCCATTCGGAATCCCATGTAAATGTGAAAAGGAACAGCGTAGTCACAGTACCGATCTCCAAGGTAGATCATTGTAAGAATGGAATGAAAAGTTTATCGCTGGTCGAAACATGATAAGCTCAAAAGATGTACGCGTCGCACCAGTCTGCGAAAGCTCTCAATTGTGAGGCTTGCCGCTTCGTTCCTTCCAGTCGTAATACTTTTAGGCTGCTCATACTTTGCGCCGCTGCCGACGTGCGTTCCGTGCGGACGGTGCGGAGTGTGTGAAGGGTGTCAACATGCGCACTGACGCATGATCCACGCCAATCGACAGTTCCCGATCGATAATTCTAATTTCGATACTTCTGTCCATTTTTCAATGTTTTGTGTACCGCCTTCTTTGCTCACCACCCCTTTAAATAAATATGAACAACTTGAAGAATAATGTTAAATTTCGGTTTAAACATCGTAATCAAGATAATAATAAATAGATTAGTTTGATTCAACTTGTTTCTATTATAAACATAATAACTTCGTTGCTTTCATTTCTTTTTTTTCTGGCTCAGTCTTTTCTTTTTGTCCTAGTCAATACTTTCAATTTTTCTCGAAGGAGTAGCGTTGTGCAGTTGCATCAACGGGCGGTAAGCCCCAGGTGAGGTCATCAGTGGGCAAATACAATATTTCATACAAAAAAGGAAAGGTTTGAAAAGGAAGCACGAACAAAAGTGTTCGGCACACAAAGCATCAAAACAAGCAGGAAAACATTGAAATTACCGACCGGAAGCTAATGATTATGCCGAGTGCACGTCATGCGCCAGTGCGCATGTTGAAACTCTTCACTCTCTCCGCACCGTCCGCACGGACCGCAATGTCCGCAGCGGCGCAAGGAATGAAAGCAGCTTCTGGTGACATAGAATGTTCTTGCCATTCCCCATAGTTCAAGCTTCAAGGTAAAATTTTGACGACGTCCTTCTTTAACTGTCAATAGGGCAGAAGAGGCGGAGTCAACTCGCTATATAAACTTAATTTTATCTAAGCATTTACGAAAATAGCGCTGTGCAACGTAGTTTTCAAAGCGCGTGGGTATGGCCGAAGTCTCGCAGTGGTGAGGGTGATCATCAGATATCAAATGTTGCTGAAATTCAGCTATTACATTGATAAGACCAAATGTGCTTAGAGCTGTTGAGAAGGTTGTTACTGGATTGGACATGAGTGATTTGTGATTCCAAGTCACATGGAATAGGTGAAAAGTCCGGAAACTCGATGAGGGGTGCCGCAAAAATCTAGGTCCGGTAGAACAGTGTGCCCTTCATCTACCTTTTTCATTGAGTGAAAACGACCCTTTTTCTTTTGGGTTGTGATATATAATGTAGAACAGGTTATTCCCAATACCCTAAATTTCGGCTGAGTAGTTCGATCACGACTAGGGTCAACAAAAATTTGCAAAGGTGAAACTGCACGAGGAGAAGGTTGTTCTGCCTGTTACGCGGTCTACAGCAGGCGCAGCTCTCCGAGCACAGGCGGAACTATTATAGTGGGAGAGTATTCTCTGCAAGATGTCAAAATCCCCGAAATCTTGACACATGTGCCCAGCAAGGGCAGCCAGAAATTAGTCGACTTTTCTCCACAATGTGCTTCTGCCGACCGAAAAGCCGACCAGCAAAATGGCTTACTTACTAGACCTCTCACCTCTTCACTGTCACTTTTTCAGCAGTCTGGATAGCACCTTAAAATAGGAACTCCACGAAATCTAACATGATGGACACTCGCTGAGTTCATGGCCTCTACTACTCCACTGCTTTCAGCGAACGGATTAGTCAAGCTCATTTAATATTGGAAAGAAAGAGCATAATATATTTGGTTCAGCTGCGAACGAAAATATTGTTTTTGAATTGAGATATGCACATTTGAACTTCACGGTCAGAAACGGCAAGAACTTCCTTTACAACCTAATACTTAATACGCTGAGGTAACTTAGCTGGATATGTAATAGAACAGGCAATGCCCTTGACGATGAAGGAACTTCACCGGCACAGGATAGCCAAAGTCATGCGAAGGACCTAATCCATTTACCGACCTTTTCCTGCCGCAGGATTAGTACGGTGGCAAACTTGTAGTGAGAAAAAAATGCTACATAGTTCGTAGTAGAGATAATTTTTCGAACTGGGTGGCCCATGGGCTTGGTCGTATTTGCTTTTCCACGTATTTGAATAAAATGCCTTCATTATGTGTGAAAAACGATAAACGAAATCTACTAACCTCTTCCTCAAGTTCGACTCGCTCATCGGATTATTGCCAACTTTTTCTGAAATTTTGGAAGTTCAGTCATTAATTCGAATATGTCAGTTTATTAGTTAAGCTCTCATTCAGTTTGCCCTTGAGTGCACACTTCGTGGGAAACTTGGCGAATCCTCACTAAGTTAGTTTTCAACGGGAGCGCGTTTTATTGGGAGTTTTCCTAATCTGCTCAACGTAATTTTGATTTTTCCAGAACTTTACGTGCGGAGACAGTTCGTCGCCACCGGCTCATTAGTAGCTCTCTCTCTCTGCACTTGCCCATGTCCTCAGATTTAACACGTTATTTAACACATTGACGACCGCGCGCGTTTTGGCTTTTTTGGCCGTGTGGGACCGGGCCGATTTTGCGAGTGCGACCGCCGCACCTCGGATCCGTGAATTTTTATTGATAACTTTTTAAAGCACCAGTGGTACAAAAACATCTCAGTAACAGTCAATGCGTAGAAGGTAATAGAGTATATAGTGACGAAGTTCCGATTAAAGAACATGTAATGGTAATGAAAAAGGAAACTTTTAGTCATTTTATCTGTAGTGGATGCCAAAAGCTCTTTTGAT